GGGGTAATTTAAAAAAAACTGATAAATATGATAAATGGGTCTTATATTTAGAATCAAAACCAACTCAACAATTAGGTCCTATATTAAGAACCAGAGGAGTAATGGATTAGATTGACAAATAGAGACAAGAGTTTACTTCTTTAAGGAAAGGATACACAAATGTAAAAATAATATGAAATGTTAAGTTTGAATTATAATTGTAACCAGCAACTAACAACAATTTTTCCTTTTACAAGACCAACAACGGAACAACTGAATTAAGACAAGTTGAAGCATTATAAGGAGATTTATTTTGCTGAAATATCTTCACTCTAAAATGGTATAGCATAATTGTATTACTTACGATATATGAGAAACTGACAGCAAATATTGTTGGTTTCTTTTTATAAAGTAATGAAATTTAATCCTAGAAGACAATTCTTACCGATAAAAACATTTATTTGTTACTATCATTCCATAAATGGAGCAATTTATGAAGTAGAAAAAAAAAATCTACAATAGATTTTTCTTAAACTTCTTAATACCTGAGCTGAGAATTCTGTATTTATATTAGTTAAAATTTTAGATGTTGTACAGTTTTTTTCATTTGATCTTGTCAATGTATATATTCCTCCTGTTCCATAGGTCTTATATTTAAGACAAGAGGAATATATTTTGGTGTTTAATTTGGTACTAGTCCCAGCATGAGCAAGCATCTTTTTATTTTTTAATTAATCAATTTTTTTTAATGTTGTCTTGAAAATGAACAAAAATCTCAATATATTTATTATATTCTTCATAGATACATATAGTAAAATTTATGTTGTTGTTATTTTTAACTTATATGTATTTTAATTATTTCATGTGAAAAATATATATAATAAGTGCATAAGACATTACCCTAAGAAAACCACTCAAACATTAGATTCCTCGAATTGATAATTTTTTTCCTTAAACAAATATATTTTGTAAGCTGAGAGAGATCGAGGGGCAGGTTTTATGGTTTTGCTTGGTGAGAAAGTTAATGAGATCTGGATCCTCTCCTATCGAAACTTTGTGTCATCTTATTTTATCTGAAATTTCATTCGTTGACTTTGTCTAACGGTCAGGGAAAAAAATTGATTCAATCTGAGCCCTTAGATTCGATTAACTTGTTATGTTGCTGAAAGAAGCCAACGAACCAGATTTCGAATGTAAGAGTACAATACAGTTTGTAATGAGAGAGAATCTATTTCCCGAGCCTCTGATTCAGTTATATTTAAGAGAACAACTAAAATTAAAAGTGAGCTTGCAAATTATACTATAATTAACCCAAAAATGATTTTAAAAAAGCACATGTATTCCGTAACCGCCTCCAACTTCCCCTGAAATATCTGAACCCACAAAGCAGCAACAAGGCAGTGACGATAATGTCAGTTATTCTCGTTTTCCTTTCTTTCTCTTCTTATTTACTATTTACTCTCACTCCCTCACTCACTCACTTAGTACTCCACAAACTCATAACATCCTCAGCTTCTTCTGCATTCTCCAAGGTATCTTTTTCTTCCTCCTCTCCTCTCCTCCTCCTCAGACTGTACATAATAGTATACATTTCCTGTTACTGCATTCTTTTGTATCTTGTCTTCTATATATGCTTAACCAGCTTCTGCTTCTTTCTTAGTTTTTTTATCACTTAACAAGCACAAGTATCGTGTGCACACACATATATAACCACAACGTTCGTGATAAAACAGTCTTTAAACTGTGTTTGAAGTATCATGTCCCATATCAGAGCCACACTTCAATAGCATTCTCGTCATCCTAGTGTCATCGTATTTTGTCTGCTAACCTTAACAAAGGCTTTGTTCTTTTTGTGCACTGTGTTGTACCAGGTTTATTAAGTTTGGTCATATCCATTGATCGAGTCATAATGGCGATGCCTCTAAGCACCTATTTCAACTGGGAGGCCTCTGTGCAGCAAACCATGAACAATGATGTCCCAGAAATAATGAGCAGTTACTTTAATTCCTTCTTCCAGCAAGAAACACCACCGCCACCACTACCATTAGTACCAGATTATTCAGATCATGAAAGCTTCTTCTTCCTTGATGATAATAATCCAAACAGTTTATTGTTTGATTATTATTACTCTTTCCCAGAGTTAACCTATTCTCCTCCTCAATATCAAACACCATCATTACCACTCTGTGATTATAACATGAACATCTTCCCGAGTGATGATCAGATTCAGACCTTTCAATATCCCCACCCTAAACGCCAGAAGTTAAGCTTTGAAGACAATCATTATCAGTTACCGTATCATAGGGATAATTATTTCTATGACGGTTTTGAAGATAATAATTACCCTTACTGTTGTTCGTTAATGCCGGAGTTTAATGATATTGGAGTCCCACCACCGCAGCTTCCGGCTCCGGCGAGTGATTATAGTGAGAAGAAATGGTGTGGGGCTGGGGAGGCGGCGGCGAGGACGGTGTCGGCGCAGAGCGTGGCGGCGAGAGAAAGGAGGAAGAAGAAGATAGCAGAGAAGACACAGGAGCTGGGGAAGATGGTTCCAGGTGGGAGCAAGATGAACACAGCTGAGATGCTTCTTGCAGCTTCCAAGTATGTTAAGTACCTGCAAGCCCAAGTTTCGATGCTTCAGATTATGAACGCACATATGGTATGTAACATAATCTCTACTTCCTGTAGGTTAAACTGTTAATTTGGTTATGTTCCTTTAAGATTCTGATTCTTCTAGATTTTAGTTCTAGTTATAAAGTTTTAATTCTTCTATAGGGGGCAAAAAAAAAAAAGTTTTTAACTATAGGGGATCTTTACACTTGTATTACACATGATGATAATTGTTGTAAGGAAGCTTGCTGTTATCAGTTAAGTTCTTGTTATTATATGACATATAATAATTAATAATTGGAGTATTATTTACTTTTAGAATCTGATTTGTGGGCATTTGGATAGTTGTCGAGAATCTGCATATGATTATGTGTTAATGTCTGGTATTAAGGTTGATAGGCCAACTTTGATTCCTAAGAGTGTGTGTGAGACCAACGGTGTCACCATTCTTCTGTTTTTCAATGTTTATCTGCCTCACATGTTGCTGATGTTTTGCCTACTTTCTTTCTTTCTTTCTTTCTTTATGCTTTTTTAGGAATTAAATAGGAGGTGTTTAGAAAACATTAGAATACGGCCATAGTGTGTGTGTGTATATATACACACATATAAAATAATAGATGATAATAAGAATAATAATAATTATTGCTATCTTTATTATTATTATTTAGGGGATGAGGGGAGAGAAAAATACGGAGGCAGTTAAGTGGATGTGAAGACATGGTCAACATAAGCCAGTCTTTAGGAACAAGAATTCTTTTTTTTTTTTTTCTTTTGTTTTTTTCCCCCCTAAATGCTCGTTAAGCAAATACTTTCGCGAGGATGAAATAAATCAGTATGTAATCAGACCAAATGAATTATTTTTAGTTTTTACCAACCAATTCTACATGATTATTTAGAAAAAAACTGCTTCGTTTGTCACTGGTTTATCTATATATTTGATTAAAAAAAGTTTACAAGATAATGGCAGAAATAAAATCCTGAAAAATGGATTAATTTCAAAATTTCCTCAAGATTTGTCGCCCTTTACCCACTTCAATTACCATATCTATGATAGATTTCTTTCAGGCGGCAAAAATACCCAAAAAACATAGTATTATATACTAATTTTTAATTTTAGTTGACAATCATTAGCATCACAAATAAGCTCATCCCATCCTTTAAAACGTTCATTGAAAACCAAAAAGCTTGGAACTTTATGCCCCCCAATGATTAAAAACCAATGCTTTGAATTGGATTGTGTGTGTTACTTTGTTTCATCACATTCTTAATTATTTTGCAGGAAGATAAAGAATCAGCTTGGAGTGATAATCAAGATCAGCAATTACAAGCAATGCTTGGCAGTCCCAGTGTTGCAGAGAAGCTCTACTTGCAGGAAAAGTGCCTGGTCCCACAAAACTTGGTCACCACATTGACAAATCACACTGATATCCAAACAAGACCTTCCATTCTCAAAGAACTTCATCAGCTGATCATTGTCACAGACACTGAGAAGGAACAGCTCCAATAATCAATCTTGTTTTGTTTTCCTTCGATGTAATTAATGTTCTCTTGTTATCTGCTGTTGTTGTCATCATCATTTAGATCCTTTTTTAGTGTAATCTGAGGATATTTGCCTTCTTTTTGGCCCTGACTTAGATTTGAAACAGAAATAAATAGAAAAAGGAAACTATCATCTTCCTCCCCCGCGGGACCTGGGAGTTCTAATGATCATCACTTTTCTGTCTCACTGACGAGATTGAACTTCCCAAGGAATGCAAAACATGATAATACTTGGCGTTTCACAATTTCTATCAGTATCTCATGAACAACACATTCAGATTATTTTTATAAACCACAAAACTAGCTTCGGTAACAATTTTTAACAAGGATCAATGACATTTGTTATTTAATCATTGAGGAGGAGAAAAAAGGGAAGAAGCAAAGAAACAAAAAATTGCAGGGCTCAAATAAGTTGACTATGGTGGTAAAGCCCCTTCCCTAACAAGACACATTAATGCATGCTGCTCATGAGGTTGTGGCTATATCGCATTTAAGAAGTTTCAACTGGTGTATCAGATTGTGCTCCCCATTCAGTCCAAGATCCATCATAGACCGCAACATCAGACTTTCCAAGACGATGCAGACCCTGAAAAAGGTGGGAATAACCAAAACAAGGCATGAGAGGCTTTACCCTTTACCAAGTTCCTTATATGGATGGATCCATAAGATTTATATATTTAACACTTCATAATCAAGCTTGTCTTTGTTAGACGACAAGCGTATTTTCCTGCTCAGCTGAAAACCGGATCCCGACCATTTTATGACTAGAATGACCATGTACCTATGTGTTCACCCTCAAGAACTATAGGTAAAGGCTCTAGGGTGTGTATGGGGTAGCATTTTGACAAATGCAACAAGCTTCTGGCTTGTGGCTTTTGTAGAACTGCGCTTGTGGCCGTGCAATGCCATCACAAACATGTTAGCAGTAGTTTAATCTATTAATATATATGATCTGTTTTTTGACATCCAATTTAAGATTTTCAAAGAGTTACTTTTAGTGGATGGGTGGGGTCTGCATGCGTGCGGAATGCAATAGGGGTCTGGATTCGCCAAAGCTAGACCCAGCCTTGGTACAAGTCAGGTCTCAAAATAGGGGCCCAAACTGCTGGCTGATAAGCCTGCTCAACATCAAAAGTTCAGCCAGGTTGTCGGATGGGCCTGAGTGATGCCAACATTTTTTCACACCTAGTGCGCCAGTAGACCAAACTAGGGAGGACAGAATCAAATATGGTACACAAGCATTTTAGCAATATGCTAACAAATATGGTAACCGACCCATTGAACCAATGGAACGAAGTGGAAGCAATACAATAGCAACAACATTGCCAAATAATTTCCCCCCCCCCCCCTACCCGGTCAGGAAGATAGGTCCAATTACTTGACCTATCAAGAAGTAGCTTCGGACACTTTGCTTTGCCCTTCATCTCCAGGAGCCCAAAAAAAAAAAAACCAATTTTGTGTGCATGCACGTGTGAGCGTGAGAGAGAGAGAGAGAGAGAGGTACCAATGCAAGAATGCAAGCAGTTACTCCAGTGCCGCAAGAAGCTGTTATTGGGCTTTCCAAAGAGATTCCTGCATATGAATAAGGATGTCAGGTAACTGAAGAACCATATCAAACATCTCAGCAGGTATCTAAAGTTTTTAAGAACAAATTTAATTTCAGCATAGGGATCTCTGTCACAACGGGCTCCAGACCTTCTTCATCAAATCGCTTCTTAAGCTGATCCGGTGGTAACAATGTTTGGGAAGCATCCAGCACCTGCAGAGGAAGACAAGCACCATTGATAATATAGCATGACAAATATTTTCTTCATTGCTATGACAAGAAAGGTTCGTGTTTTTCTGGGTTATAATGATAGTACTGAATTGACCGTATGCGGTACCTGTTTAAAAGGAATGCACTTGCTGCCAGGTACGTGACCACCTCTAATTCCCTTACGGGGTTCTGGCACAGCTCCATCAAACCTGTCAGAGGATAAAATATCCATAAAGTCCAACAGAGGCACACCAGAAATAGAAATCCCAAACAGTGAACTATAGTGAATATAAGAAATTGATCCAAGAGAAAATAAGAAATTCTCCAAAATTAAAATGAATAAAAAGAAAAATAGACTGAATAGAGACATAATCAATAAAAACCTCCTAATCTCCAATATATTCCTTATTGAGCTCTCAATTGGTGGGTTTTAAATTTATGAAAATAAAGACTGGTATGGAAACAATATTGAAATTTATGGAAATACAGCCTATACAGCATTTCATAAAAATTCTGCTTGAAACATGAAACAAGTTCTATCCATAATGATGAACAATGGATGCCGCTTAAGTTATTAAGCCAATACCAACAAAGAAAAGAGATGAAATTACACGTTTGCAGCCAACTGCTCGCATGCTAAGCGTCAATATATACAAAACAGGAACGTGAATGCTCACAACAGTGCAGAGAACTCACGTGAAAGTATATGAGAAGTCAAAAGGAATGTAATAATATACCTGGGCTTCGATCGAGCATCTATATGTTGGTGACTTTTTTCCTCAATATTTTTCTTCACCTATAACAAGGGGATATAACATAACCAAGGATGCAATTTATTGATGGGAGACCCTATTAAATTCAAGACCAGACATTTCAAGAGACTACTTACTAGTAGATTAAGCTTCAGATATATTAAATTCCAATAAAGTTTTCTAGTAGACTCAACATTCATTTGTAATACCAACTTTTCAAACCCATATTTATTACTATTCTTGACAACTTAATACTTGTAGGCTTTTATCGTTAACATCACCATATACTTACAATTGCAAATTGCAGTTATGATTCACCTGCTATTTTGCGCAATCAAGACAAGCATTTAGAGAATTCATATATGAAGAAGTCTTAATTATAAAGCAACTCACCTGCTCCATCGTCCTAACAAGATGTGGCTGAAATTTAGTCTTATATGTGATTGGCCCAACCTGAAAAACGAAATGGCCATGCGAGGAGGATACATTAAAGGATTGCATATTGTTAAATCCATCGTCCGGAAAGGAATCTCATGTTAGAGCCACAGAACAATATATATTTTTACATCAGAAAAGATTTTTTTTTTTTTTTTTAAATAAGACAAGCAGGAGCAAAAGCTTACAAATTGGACAGATTGCAAACTTACTCCGTGTCCCTTGTATACTTTCTCTATGGCCTCACTTGCAGCACTAGCCTTCAATATAGCATCACCAGAAGCACTTGATTCAACATCATATCCTGACGCACGCCATCTTGGCAGGCCACCATCTAATACCCAAACTCTGTCATGCCCAAAAACTCGGAACATCCTTTTGACCAGTAAACCATGAAGAAAAGTATTAGTTAGAACTGCGTAGCAGAAATCAAAGATTACACATTCCAGTGACAGATTAATATGCTTTTTCAAGATAGCAAGGCTTACCACCATACACGAGCTGCACTAAATATTCCTTTTCCGTCATAAACAACCAATCCATCTTTATTCTCTATGCCAAGAGCAGAAGCAGCAGCAGCAAAAGCTTCTTCTGATGGCAACATGTGCGGTAGCTGATACCAGTCATAGTTATAGATTAGATATACTGGAGAAACAAATTGCATCAAAATACAGGGAAGTTCAAAACATTAAGTGCAAAATCATTCCCTAAGAATAAAACTATTTAAAATGAGCACATCTCTAGAGAATAGCAAGCAATTAGGAACGCATAAAATGGGCAGAGGCAAATTAAAAACGCCCATATCAACCTATAGAATCAAAATTTACTTAAAAAATCCATGTATAATTGCTGAAAGCTTTCATTTATTACTGCTTGACACTATAAATGCATTGAGAATATGTGAAGTTATCAATATTTTCACATGAAGAAAAAATTTATAAGATCCACATAGTGAACTATTAATGGTTAAAAAAAAAAAAAAGTTAGCGACCACTGCATCTAAAGAATCCACTACAATTGAAATCAGTTATCATGTAATTAACAGCATTAATGGCTCTAATAGATCATGCAATTATTGGCTGGCTTTTATCATATTTCCCGATCAATCTTCTTATCTATCTATTTTTTATTTACTCTTGCAATTTATTTTAGGTGTCTACTGCCAGTTAATATCGCATGATGTTTAATTTCTTTGGGTTTAGTTAACAAATTTTTCATAAGAATCATGTAAAACTATAGGTGTTAATGGGGTGAAGTCAAATTGTTTTATTTCTTCATTTGTTTCTAGTATTATGAGTCTTTATTTTGCGTTCATGTTCCTATCCTTTCCTTTTGGGAGGCGTTGGTTAGCTGCTTCTCTTGAGGCCTACCTCCTCCTATATGTAGCAAATGTTGCTTTGAAACAGATACCAAACTTTTAGAGACAATATTTTCTGAAAAACTTCACACAAAAATCTCAACGATATCATCTTGCACAGCAAGACCTACAAAGATTTCATTTTTATAAGGTAGCAAAAGTCAATAACAGCCTTTACATAAAATTATATACAAATTCTAAAATGTCTTTTAAATAAAGACTCTTATAAATAACATGAAGAGAGACCACTCACATTTGAAGTTCGATCCGATATTCCATCTACATCAAAGAAAAGGGCCCCAGGAATGTGAGCAACCTGTTGCAATTGTGTTAAACAAAATACGCTAATAGCCAAATGATAAACAGAAGTGAATTGCAAGACAATAAACAAACACAAACAGAAGCATATCCCTTCTATGTCATGTCTCATAAGCTGCTTAGAATTTTTTAACTAAAGAGAATGGGATTGATAACAAAATTATGTTCAGACCTGATATTCTTGAAATGGGTTCCTCTGCTCATCTGGCATGTACCAGGAGGCATCCAATACCTGAATAGACTAGACACGCTTAGGAATTTTCATGGCTGATGTAATGTAACATATTCAGGCAGTACAAAGATGGAAAATTCAGATCATGCATATACATCTAGTAGAATTAAAGAATTTA